GGGCAAGAGAAGACTGCGGGCAGCAGAAGACTGCGGGCAAGAGAAGACTGCGGGTATTGAAAGGCTGGGGGTAATTAAAGACTGCGGGCAAGAGAGGACTGCGGGCAAGAGAAGACCGCAGTGCTAGTTCGACCGCGATCCCCATTTACTGCAGTTCTCGAGTCTGACTGCAAGCCTCCCAGTCGCACCATTTCCACCCGCAAAGGATCACTCAAATAGCTTCCCATAATAGGAAAGGGCCTATGTGCTGGCCTTAGGTATTGGTCATGGACAGTTCGCGGATCTAGACTCGTCGACCTAGATCCGGAGAGATTTCGGAGCTAAATGGCTGAGGTTCCAGCGCCGGCCCACACGTGCATGTCTGCCCGGCGTGTCGAGAATCTTCTCGGACCATTAAAAGATCAGAGAATCAATACTGAATACTACAACTGCGTGCAGGTGACCAAAAAACGGATCTCACAAGTACGTGTAGAGGTGCAGTATCGCCACAGATTCTTGTGACACACGAAAGGGACTGCGTCGTATCACATGCTGGCATGGAGTGACCAATCGAAAAAGAAAACCGGGTGGTTGGTGGGGTGACACACGTAGCCGGTCAGCTCGGGATTACTCGCAATAGCCGCGGTATAAATCGCCCTCTTTTGCAAGGAAACAGTTGGCTACCAACATATTATAAACTAGAGAGCTTTCAGAATCCCATTCTCTTCTTGTTCCGAACGCTCCATCAAGCTTCATGCCCCAGATGAGTAGCCATACTATAGATTCTGAGCGGATCCGGGGTCGGGGAATCTTAGAGTGACCGGGTACTTTTCCATGGCCTTTCTAATCTTACTCTGCCATTACTATTGGTACATTCTGATGGCGATGGCTGATGCATGGCCACGTCATGCGAGACCTACATATGCTATCCCACCAGGCAAAGCATCGTACCAGCAAGAAGCTGATGACCGAATAAATTCCTGGGCTCCCACATAGCAGCTCGCATTCGCTTGATCATAATAGCGGCAATCATAATCTTCTCTTTTGTTTTCTATAGGACCCACCTTCTCCTATCTGAATAGATCCACGAGCCCTTGATGAAGAAAGGAGGAAAAAAGAAAAGAAAGTCGGCAGTACCTACCTCCGCTGATACAGCTGTTGTACTTACGGAGCCGGTTTCTGCAAACGAACAAATTATCAGAAAAATGAAAGACCTCGTCCTTAGGTTAGATACAGTAGTAATCCTATCTCGTGCAATTACTGACATCCAAATTAGTCAATTTCTCAATCCGAAGTATAGCGATTTATCCATATAATGTGGCGATGAGATATTTCCAGCCCATCGGAACATCCTCTGTCCTCAATCAGAGTATTTTGAGATTGCTTGTAGTAGCCACTTCAAGGTGAGATACTCCAATTCTTTTCAGGTGCGATCATTAAACTGTTCTAAACACTTATAGGAAAGCAACGGCGAGATCATCATTGAGGATTGCAATCCTATGCTTATCAAAAAGACACTCGAATTCTTGTACACGGGTGACTATACTTATGACGGTTCTCCAGATACCCAAGCTCTCCTGAACTTAGAGAATAGTTCTGAATGTCCACCCGAAACATGGGCAGAAAAGGATTATGAGGTAAATGCAGACACTGAACAATATCCAAACCCATTTCGAAAAACCAATACTACAAATTTTCAAAGTTGTCAGGCCTTCTTCCACGCTCAAATGTACGCACAAGGTGATTATTTTCAGATCAACGAGCTTAAGAAGAAAGCAAAGGATTACTTTACGAAATCTTTCTTGGAACATCCCAATCAAGATTCATTCAGCTCCTCCGTCGTTGAAGTTTACAGCTCAACAGGGGAGCACGACCGTGGGCTCAGAGATCTTGTTGTCCAGCTCACGACGGATAACCTCAAGATTCTGAGGAATGGGGATAATCCTATACTGTGTGACGGACTTTTAGAATCTGTTCCCAAATTCATGCTGGAGGTCTGTCTTTCGACCTTGGACAAGTGTGCTAAATATCAGAGGCAGCAGTATGGATACTACTAGAATGTTCATTATAATGCACGGAAGGGTCTCGAATAATGTGCAGCTGCTCAATTTTTTGTTTGATATTCTACTTTATTTGTTTATAGTGAGATAATGCAGGGCTTCAAGTACCAAAGAGAAGTGAGTAACGGTGGTATTTCAAATTAGGAAACCTTGACTTATAGCCATTGCGATCGTACACCGTCGCGTATAGAAGCATAAAGCACGAGGTGTGGCGGCTGCATTTGTCTTAGACTCAACAGAGGACACCTCGTCAGCAAGACTCTGTTATTTTCTCCTAGCTAATGCCGTAGCTCAATTTATCACCGCAGCGCTGACATCATGGTTCAGTAGTGGGCCTTCTCTTGGGGGCTTAGTGGGGCGGATTCTCATTAGTTACGAAACAGCCCTCCGCAGTCGGCTTTGCACCCCAGTCGGTTTTGCCATACCAAGGATTTGCTGACTGGCCTCCTCACTTGACAAAATGGGTCACTGCGTACATCCCGCAGTGCCCTCACTATTCCTCGGTCTCTACCGCTGCGGTCCGACGGCAAAGTCCATGTGGCGCTAGTACTGTATCATTCGCAGGGAAACGGGGCAGGGTAGATTACGCGGGGATGGATGGCCCTTTTACGAAGGAGGGCGAAATGGGGGAGAAATAGAGACAGAGCCCTATTATTCGATCGCATATGATCCCAATATCTTGGTACCTCCAATTCTGTCGCAGGAAATTCTTACTGATGTCAAATGGAACAAGCCAATCGACGATTACACTCACTTTGATCTCCATGATCGATTCGAAGAGATATCTCATTACTGTACTTCCGGATACCGGAGTCACCAGTTATACTCTTTGATTCTTTCAACAACCCTAATGTGAAACCAAGCTAATCTGAGTTTGGAACGGAAAGCAATAATAATCCTCCTGTACCAGACAAAGTATTGTATTAACAGGTAATATTTCACCAGTGGTGTGACGAAGTAATTTAGTTTAACTAACTAGTTAACTATTCCTTTCTTGCTGTAAAATTTCTATATAATAGATACTTCCCGGAATAACCGGAGCTGGCACGGCAACAGCATGACGTCATATTACAAGACCACCAGAAACACCCAGACTGAAGATTGAGTGGCAAGTTGTCACATGTAAAGAATCATCTAGATAATAGTATTGTTCTATATAGGCAAAATGGTATAAAAGGCTTGGCCATCCCGGGCCCTTCTTTTGCAAAGAGATTAGGAAATAAGAGAAGTCTGGAGAAGGCTGGCAAGCTGTTAACAATCTCATGCTGCCGCCTTGACCACCTCTTCAGAGACCGGTAGCCT